GTGACTGCTAGGGATATGGAAGGGGACCAGAAAGAGGAAGAGAACCTAGGATAAGAGGGCAGAAGGGAGGGAGGATAGAATTGAAGCACTATATCTACATGTATAGAAATATCACAGTGAAACCCAGTCATTTGTACACCTAAGATATATTAAGGATTATAGTAAAAATTAAATGCAGCAGAATCTACTCTTAAGCTGCAGGAGTTTTGGTAATCAAAAGTGGTCTGAGCATACAAACCCAGATCTTCCTGGCTAACTCCCCTTCTTTATGTTTTTGTCTCTAAGCTTATTAATATTTCAAGTAACTTGATAATGCTCTAGTGAAGCTGTTTTCCAGTGCTTAAGCTTCACAGTGCTTCAGATGCACGCCTACAGGATTGGTATCAATGTATCTTTCTTCATGGTTTTGTTTAGGGATTCTGCATGCTGAGATTCCCCTCTCTAGCATGATTTTAATTTAGAAAGGGATCAACAGTATTTTTCAATGGAACTCTTAAAATGGGATAAGGACAAGATCCACTGATACAATAAAGTAAAAATAAAACAATCGACTACTACAAATTTGTCTTCACCAGTTTCTCCAACTTCCTTTCCTCCCACCCTTCCCTCATCCATTTGTCTGTCTTTTCTTACTATTCATTCTAGTAGCTGCAAGCTAATCTGTATCACTTTTAAATCAGTGTAGAATGAATAATAAAATAATAAATAGTAAAAGATAATATTTTACTTCTGGAGACAAAAAACAGAGTCCTGAATATCTGAGCTCCAAGTTAGCTTTTAGGTTAATTCCGTTTTAGAAAAATTGAAATACATATAGGACTTAAGCAAGAAGTTTCAAAGGTTACTGATTTTCCCATGGTGAGTCATTATAGATAATAAAGGCTGCCATTTAACCTTCGTCCATTTTGAGAAAATCTCTAATTTACAAATTGCTCCCAAAGGGTTTTWAGCAGTTTACCATAATACTTTAGTTTAATAGATTAAAAATAAAAAGAAACAGTTATACAAATTTTAAATATTATAAACTTGGCATCTAAAATAAATATAGTAGAATTACTGACAACATTTTAGATGAATGGGGAAAAGTGAAGCTGTACATATTTGAAAAAATAATGCAAATAGCAAGTAAAATAATTGAAAATAATTTTAAAAATTCATATGCATAATTTCAAGGAGTTAGATAATATTAAGATAATTTTATTATCTTTAGATTACTAATCAAAAATACCAATTATGTATATTAGAGACACTGAGTTACATAGGAACTGGTTCAAAACAAAAAAAAAAAGAATCAGAAGAAATAAGTGTGAATTTATGTGCACATCTGGGTATTTTGGGGTAAACTTTTCCTAGTTTACCAAGTTAGTTATAGTAAATTCTGCACAACCTTTATGTCCTTAGATCTAAAAAGACATTGGGACTTTTTGTTTAAAAATAATCACAGATTTCAAATACTTTTTCTAGTGACACAGAAGTTAGAATTATTTTATGCAGTGATATAAGGAGTTTCCATATTGTTTCAATGGAGTAATAGCAGGAATTTCCCAAAGATGGTGATCACCTTGAACATTTGCATATATCACCATTTGGCACTGCAAATGTAATCTAACTGTGGTTCTTAGTAAAAGAGGCTCTTCTTCCTTTATGTCCTTCTGAATATTAAATTAATGAATTATCTTTCAAATGTCAAATTTTAAAATAACGTTTTGATACATCTTAGTGGATCTGGTCTCTATTATTGATTTTTCTCACTTCTTCTAGAGACTTTGAATGATCCAAAGGATTTCTGTGGAAATATCCTGTATTGAGAGACCATGTATTTTATAGAATATTGCTTTATTCTCATGCGATTTAGATAGAGTGATAATATTACTACTTTGAAATATTGTGTAGGAAGAGATGAAATTTTTGAAAATACAATGTAGTGATTTTGCAATTTCTTACTGTAAAAGTTTTACAAGCACATATTTATATATTGCTATACTCATATACAAAATTCCATTTTTCTTTCTTCAAATGGAATGAAATTATGGAGATTAAAATATCGATGTTATGGAAAATCATTAATAATAGATACATTTTCATTATTTTCACTAGAAAGAAATTGATTTTTCTAGGAAACATTCAGAAAATAATTCAGTTGATATAAAATCACTCCCAAGACTGAATATAACCTCTAAAATGTTAAACTTTTCCCCTTATTAATTTTCATAAGGAATTCAAATATATCATCAAATGTACTTTGGATCTTTTACTGGAAAAAAAAGAAAGATATCTATTTTTGAAGCATAAGCTGCATGTATATGTATTTAAATTAGAATATGCATTTAGAAAGCAACAAAAAGGTAACAATGTAAAAAGAAATGATTTAGACAGAATTTTTCTGCAAAGTAACACAATTTTGAAATTAATCTGATTTCTTTCCTTATTGTGTGTCTATAGTAGATGAGAAAATTCCTTAAAAACTTGACAAGGCTCATATCAAATTAACTATTTGAAAAGCATTGTTTTCATCAAGTGTGACCAAAAATTAAGAGRCAGGTTTAAGGAAGGAAAGTAGACTTCAATTTCACAATGTAATTTTCCCAACAATTAGTCATTTCTTATTTAAATACAAGCTACATGTATATAGCAAGACTAATGTTGCTGAAAAGATTTTATTTTTGTATATGTGTTGGAGGTACTCTACCAGTCCAATCAAATAAACATAGTTCTGAATTTCTTATCTCCATGCAGAAATATTTTGTTAAACTTCTGATTCTGGAATAATTATATATTTTCAGTTACCTTATTCCTATCATTCTAAATAGTGTACAAAGGACAGAAAATTAAGTGAAAAGTACTTTAGTTATGTAAATAGCAAGTAAAGATCCAAATATATTTGTCATTTCTAAGACCACCATAGGTAAAACTGCATAGTTACTTAGGACTTTCAAAACTCTTTCTTTGGTGAAATCCAGAAATATATAAAATACCAAAGTAGTATAATTAATGCACTAGCAAGTTAATATAGAAAAAAAAAAGATTGTCCTGTGATAAAAAAAATAAAATTTGGAACAGCTAGAAAAATAATTAGAACAGGAACACAGGATGGAGTATAAAAAACTATATACTCTAAATCTGGCTCAATCTGACGTATATGCTGATCTTTTCAAGGATCAAGAAAAATACAACTGTGTTTTATTTTTGTTCAAATTCTTTGTTTTTATTTGAGTCTCCTGTTTTACTATAAGCATATACCCTCATCTATGAGATCACAAACTGAGTTTTATCAGAAAACTCAGATATATTTTCATATGATTCACAGCACTGAAATATGTTTCAGATATTCAAATTTGTATAATCTCTGAGAAAGTACTATTTGGCAATGTGAAGATTTGTTTTAAAAGCTTAGTCACGTATATTTATCTGACAAACTTTCAATGAATGCAATAAGCAGCTTGAATTATATCTGAAGGGATAGAATTAAGTTCTATAAAATATAATTAATTTCTGAAAAGAAAATTAAACTCTTAAAATCCTATTAATTTGTAATTCTGTATTTCTGTTAAATTCTTTTTAATATGCAATTATTAAAAAGAATGCATGTCACAAAGTCTTTAAATAAAATAAAATCTTGTTCTTATTACACATTTACTCATAACTGAAACTAAGAACTTGTTAACTCTTTACTTGTAAATAGCACGTGATCTTTTCACAGTTCAAGGGTAAGAAGCCAACGGGTAAAGAAGTGACCTGATGAAGACCAGGAACTTCCCAGTGGGAATCTGTCTGCAGAACCAGCATTTTAACATCACTTTGGAAAGAAGGGAAAGATGTAGGAACTCTGTTGATTTCTGTGGTATTTAAACATCCCCATTTCTTCAAATAATCTGAGTTTTGCTGCTCTTTTCCCAATATAGCACTTTGTCTCTGGTCTCAAATATAGTTTACTTTAGCCCTGAGCTGAGAAACTGCTTGCATGCTCTGACAGGGGCCATCTATATTTTGTTTGGCCTGCACATCGTTCACTATGCAAAGTTTTAAACAGTAGTCTCTGATTTTGAACACTTTAAACATATAGAAATAAAGATCCTCCTGAAAAACTGCACCTTTGGTGCCTAGGACCTTTCCCCACATAACCGTGATTAGCTTGTGAATCTGTCCAGAGATCAGAAATGGATGCCCAGATTCTTACAACTTCCTCTATTTCTGATCCCCAAATGAGGGACAGATTACTCCTGACACCTTGCCTTTCGATGACATTTGTATTCCATTCAGTCTTAGAACTGCAATTGAGAGTTCTGGTTTAGTTTCTTCACTTGTCCCATCTTGCAGTCTGACTCATTTGAGTGATCCTTTAATCCTGTTTTATTTCTGGGTCCTTACCTTGATCCTTGATGTTCTCCCATGCTCATACTTCTGGGTCTCATGTTCCATTCTCCCTGGTCCATCCCAACTTTTATTAGAATGTACCAGTTACAAGTGTTTTTTGAACTTTTGGATTTTAATWATTTCTCACTCATCAATACACAGGTAAATCTTACCACTGCAGAATTTAGATGCCAATTTTTAAAAAGACAGAAAATTGCCAGAAAGTTAGTAAATTATCATGGGAATGGTACTCAGGCACATGTTTTCCAAGGATACATCTTTACATATTTTGTACCAGAATTGTGCCTTCAAATACTCTTTGTTTAAGCAAAGGTTCAGAGAAACGAATTTGTAACACTGTTCTATCAGTGTACTGTGACAAAGACTTCTTCTTTATATGAAGTACATAATTGTTTAAGGGCCTAACTTCAAAGTCCAAATATGTGTGTTTTGGCTATGTTCTTTAATAGCACACAATAATTACATCTTTGAAATGCATATTGAGTGACTGGCAATGAAATTTATGCTTTCTCAATAATAGATGTAGTTATGGTTGAAAGAAAAGGCAGATTACAGGTTCCCTTTGAACCTTCATTACTATGCAAAATTTAATATTTCAGTTGTATTATTCCAACAAGCAGACTTACCACGGCAGTGTATTCCTTCGTCATAACCATCTGAGCAATCCAGGACACCATTGCATAGTTGGGATAAATGCACACATTCATTGGCACTACGGCAAGCAATGTGATTCAAGGGGCACTTGATTTCTACTTCCTCAGGACCTAAAAGAAATGTAAAAATGAATTATTAGTACTAATTTACAAAACTACAGAAAATACTACTAAAGTGCTGCTCTTATTCTCAGAAACATCTAAATTAGCCTGTGTGAATAAAAATCTAATTTTAAAAAGTTGCATAGGAAATGAGATACTGTACATTTTTTTATAATACATTAAAAATATAAATATGCTTTTAAGGCATGGAAAAAGCATAGATTTAAAATCCGAGTGTTGGTTTTCTCCCTTACCCCTAAATTGAACAAAGTACTTAAACTCCTTGAATCTCCATTTCCTCAAGTACAAAATATGGATAACAGAAATTTATTAGCAGGATTCTCATTAGAATTCAAGTGACATGAATAAAAATGATTTATAGTTCAAATATCCCTAAAACAGAAATTCAAAATATAAATGTTCCAATATGTGAAATGTTGGCATTCAATTAGAAAAGTCTATGCAAATATTCCAAAATCCAAAATTCTCCCAAATCTGAAACACTTTGGTTCCCAAGCATTCTGAGAGGTATATTCAATAGTATAAATTAATTGAAGTTGTATCAAAATGAAATTTACTTTATATGTAGCTAATCTTTAGAAAATGAAGAATATCTACTTATAAACTTCTTGATATATAATTCTTTACTTAAAAAAAAAAACGTTTTCTGTATCATTATAATCCACTAGAATTTGCTGAAGAGTTGATGATGAACAGGGCATATTTATTAAGTCTACCTGCTGGCAGTAACTATTGTGTACACTGACTCCCATAATTACAGATAAGCTTTAAAAAAAGAGCATGGTTCTTAAAGTTCATGAAATATAGGTCTCTACCAAACACCTAAATTGTATGTTGTCTATTTGAATTTCCACTTTCTAATTTTCAACATCTAGCCATATCCTCAATAGGAATTCTCCAGTTCCTAATGTGATTTTCAGTCTTTTCAGCTCTTCCAAATCCAGAGTGTAATAATATTGACATCATCACAATCATGTATCAATATTAAATTGATTATTGCAAATAACTAATTCTATGGCAAAATACATTTGGGTTTTAATCATGCTCTACAATGCAAAGGGACATCAATTTATTTGATTCGGTAATAAACAGTATTCTCACTTCTAAAATGGGACTATCAGTTGAGCAGTTTTATAGGTACTTTATTGCAAATGGCTGGAGTTTTTGATTATAAAGCATTGAGGGCTGTGAGATTCAGACTCAGTGTAGAATTCCATGTTATTCATGTTAAATGAATGCAGTATACCAGAATGGCTCATAGACCAGAGAGAGTTTCCTGGGTCCGAATTCTGACAACCCTATTTAGAAGTACCTTAGGCAAGGTGTCAACCATGTTTTTACTTCACAAGCTTTTGGTTAAAGTTGTCTTAAAAGCCTTTAGCTTGCTTGACAAGCACTAAATAAGTGTTTGCTGTTTTCACAGTTTTAAAGAACATTCTAGGAATGTTGCCTTTTGATAAGTACTTAAACCTTTCTATTCAGCTGTAAGACCCTAAAGGGTAAAACATCTCAAAAACTATATGTTTTACTTTCACTATTTAGTTCAGGCAAAATAATAATTATTTAAAAAGTCAATATAACACATTATAGCATATGCAAAATTATGAGAATTGCCAAAGACAATGTTGTAAAATAATATAAAACGAACAAAAATTGCACATAAGCAAAACAAAAACAAAACCTGTAGTTACCAAAAGTAAACTATATTTTTGAAACATCATATAAATATGAATTTATGATATAAGTGATATTGTTTAATGATAAAACAAACTTCTCCAACCCTTTTATTTTGGGGGATATAAAAAATTTATGATGACACTTCATTAGGTAAAGTATTATCACTAACAGATTTCTCTGTAATTTTTCATGTTTATATTTATATAATAACTGCTATATAAAGCTATTCATTTTGTCAAAAACTTGTCACCACAAATGTATAACTCATTTTAATGTAATAAGGTGTGGTATGTTGAGTATCAATATTTCTAAAAATTACATTTTTAATGTATATGTACATATATTTCTATATAATTAAAGTATAAATACCCACACTTGAATTCAAATTACAGTAATAAAGGCAAATGAAACATTCTTTTCACTGAGTTTCCCACTATTTAGACTTATATTTGTAAGAACAAYATCATTTAGAAATCAAATTAAAAAGCTGTAAACTGCTAGTGTCAATGGTTATAAAGTAGCTTCTGTTAAAATTAAATAGCTGATTCTCTTAAAAAAATTAAAACATGCATCCTTGTATGATTGTCAAAGTGGTGTTTACGTAGGTTATATTTAGATCCCTTCAAAATTCCAACAATAACCTACAGAAAAAATACTTCAAAAACTTGGGGAATTTTAGCAAGAAAACAAAAATGACTTAGAAGTTCTTATAGACAGAAAGCTTGGTTTTTTTTTTCTAATGTGTCACATGTGTTAGATCAAATGAAAATATTCTTTTCCATTTTTAAGTCTGTGAGGTAATTGATAAAGATGACAATGATAACAGAAGTGAAATGCACTCCTGGGGATCAGAAGAAAGACTCGGTCACCTATAAATGTTGACAAAAGAGTAAAATATTTGGATTGCTCATATGCAATATATAGAACTATTAGATTATTCCTAGCAGTCATATATAGGATGAAGAGAGAACAGAGCTTGGGAGAACTAAAGAAACCCGTGGTTTCAGTATAGACTAACTGGTATAGTCTTCCCCATCTCTGACTTATTTTTGTCTTAGTTTGTATTACTTCTAAGTAACCCACACAATAGCTAGACCATGGCTTCATGGACTGCACCTTAACTAGTCCTTCCCAATTGTTTATATGAAAGTATAGTAACACAATGATAAAATTTGTCAGGCACACTACAATATATGGAGATTATTTGTACAAGTTGCCACAAAACTTGAAAGTTAACCTCACAATTGAAGGAATCAATATCTCACACCCTTTGACCAGGACTAGTATACTTCAACTGGAAAATTACTAAAACCAATATCATTGTTGTTATTTCTATAAAGTGGGGATAGAGAGAGAGCTCAATCTGATAAGTACCAATGTCTTCCTCAACCCAAATCCTTCTAGAACCAGACAACATGAGTAGTGCTGTTGCTTTGAGGGATAACCCATCATTGATTGCCAATGATCATAGGTACAGTGAAGGAATATCAACCCATGTGGCTCCTTTATCCTACCCTCTCAATGGACAGAAAAGCCAGTCTAATCAGTTCTTCTATTCGTCTGTGTGTCAAGCAGAAACATGTGATGATAGAGGCTAAATAAATTTCTGAAATCATGCCAACGCTGCAGAACATTATTCTTCTATGAAGATTGCAACAGACTCAGAACATTGTACAAGTGGAGATCATTTGCTGAACTACACAAGGCACAAGGCAGGGGAAATCCCTGACAAACCTATAATTTCTTCTTTAGTTGTTGAATCATGAGGATTTGGGGGGACCTCTTGTAGGGGTTAGGGGTGACAAGATAGCAAATGAAGGATTTCAAAAATCATACAAACACATTTCACAGATTTAAAAGGTAGAATACTCCTAGTTGGGGTATCAGCTCAGCTTCCAGAAATGCACATTCAGTAACACTGCCAGTGCCTAAATCTAATTTCACATGATCTAAGCAATATGACAATTTAAAATATAATGATTAAAAAAAACTCTTCATCATTAGTGGGACTTAAATTGTATCTATACATGAGAATAGTGTTTATACTTTAAATTATTTATATCCATTACCCAATTAGTTGAAATAGCTATATTTCTAAATACAAGCCTTCTAGGATAAGTCAAGGATAATGGGATTCATCTGTATCCTTTTGAAAGCTTAAATCATATTTTAAGTATAAAAATATTTTGTTCTGTTCAGTAATAAGAGGTAAGAAAAGACATAGCCTCTCTAAATATATTTTCTGAGTAATAGTAATTGACATAGTGCATTTCTTGGAAAAATGGTAATTTTTTCCCCACCATAGTGGCAAATACTGTCAAATATCTGCACTTGTCATATCATCGCATCTTAGCAGAAATAGCATCACTCCTTTTGTGTAAAAGTTAACCCTGCCTTACACTGTCATCATATCCTACAGTCTGGGTCTTGTCTTGTCAAGAATAACCTCTTGGTTGTATTTTCCATTTATACCTTTACAATGGTTTTAAGTCCTCTGCCCGCAGTGACATTCAATTTTCATAACCTCTATATAAGAATAAAGTCATTTTTGTTGATTGAACTTTCCCGTAAGAAGCATTACTTTTTTCTGACTCTAAAAATTCACTGCCTAGCTTCTTCAAAATACAACTGCATCTGCTGCATCCCAGAGCCCTTCTCACTCTGCCTCCAAAATTTTGCTGAGCTTGTTCCCTCCAAGTTCTCTGTAGTTGTGCTGACAATGAATTCAGAGGGACACAAAGCCTTTCAAAAAATGACCAGACTTCCTCTATCTTTGTAACATATACAAATCTTCTTTCCCATGCTCCTCATAGTCTAGTCCTACACATTGTTATTGTTGACGTTATTGTTTACAGAATTCCTTGCAAACACCTGGATGCATTTCATACACTCTCCTTCATAAACTTCCATCTGTCATCTGCCTTTGAAACACATAATCATCTTCAACATTATACTGTCATTACTGTTCCTATTAATTTTTACTAAGTTCCCCAAACTGTGCAGCCTATTGTAAATTTGTCCATGATTATTATTTGTAGTATTTTTCTTTGATGTTAGACTATGATATATAACATCAGTGATTATTTTCATCTCCATATTACATGCACCTAGCACACAGCCTAACATGCAATATGTGCCTGATATACAGTTTTTTAATGAATGGACAGTACATTTTAACTGTTACTAATTTCTCCTTCTCTCTTACACACTAGAACCTACCTTTTCCTATCAACAATGCATTCTCAGACCAAGTTCTATTTACCACTTTCCCCCATGATTGCTGTCAAAATTTATGATGGTTATTCATTGCT